GAGTTCAGAAACCAGGTGAAGGGACCGTTCGTTAGCATAGGCGCATTCGACACGTGCTTTGTGAAGACCTACGAGACGCTGAAACCGTTGATCAAGTTTCAGTTCACGGGTTTGGATCTCACTCTTAATTAGCCAATTGCGGGAGAATGCAAACGTGCGAATGAGAAGACCGAAATCAGCTTCCTCCGGAAACGCGGAAAAGGGAGGCCGAAATCGAAAGAGGTTTTCCGGCGGGACCAGAAAACGGAGAGAAAAAACGAATGCTTAGGAAACCGAAATTAGGATTAAAAATTAAGAATTTACCCCAAATTTGAATTTAGGGTTTATGAAAATTGGAGATTATTCTCCACCTAAGATATTGAATTAACTAGAATTTAAATTTTATTAAATATAATTTCCAAAAACAAACATGAATTAAGTATGGGTTGCTCTGATACCAATTGTAAGGTTAAACTATAATTGAATATGATCTTCTTCCTTATGATCAAACATACATATATAATCTCATACTGTAAACATGTTATGAACTAAATGCGAAAGCGTACCTGAATTATCCATAATGATATTCTTTGTAGAGCACCTTTGATTTGATCTTATGGTCTTCCACCTGAAGAGCACCTGTATTTCCCTATTGATTTTCTCTCTTGATGGGGATAGAAAGAAAAGAACGGGACTGTAAATGAATTTTTCTTCTGTGTGCTCTCAGAAGGGGACCATGACCCTTTATATAACCAAAATCAGGTTAATTACTTAAGTTTTAGTATTTCCAATTTGGCCCCTCATCAAATTAGAAATTACTTTATGGTCTCTACACAATATTATTTTCATGACATATGCCTTTAGCCAAAACTTTAATTTATTCAGATCACTTTATTATTTGGCTTAATAAATAATGACCCTAACACATTTAAATATGTATCATATATATACATGACCCAAATTTTGCCAACAATAATCAGTCAAATCATCTCTTTTCACAAGCGAAATCATTTTTTTATATACACATAATTAATTAAGGTTAAAACATAATTAAATTATGTTACTGTAGATTTTCAAAAATAAAAATATTTTTTGAATTGAAACTGATTTTTAAATCAAGTATTCTCTTAATATATCTTCCCTAAAAATTCTCTTTTTCTCGCAAACAATAAAAATTGATTTTCCAATTTATTTGATTTTATTTAAAATTAACAATATCTTTTGAATTGAAACTGTTTTTTAAATAAAGTATTTTCTTATCTTCTCCTAAAAATTGATTTTCGAATTTATTTGATTTTATTTAAAATTAACAATATATTTTGAATTGAAACTGTTTTTTAAACCAACTATTTTCTAATTATATCTTCTCCTAAAAATTGATTTTCAAATTTATTTAATTTTATTTAAAATTAACAATATCTTTTGAATTGAAACTATTTTTTAAATCAAGTATTCTCTCGACTATATATTCTCTTAAAAATTCTCCTTCTGCAGAGAATAAAAATTGATTTTCGAATTTATTTTTTATTTGAATTAGTTGAATTTTTTAAAGAAAATTCAAGTAATTTTTTATAAATAACCCAATTTTAAGAAAGAAAAAAAGGAGACAACACACTACTACTGAGTTAAAAACACGAAAATATAGTTGAGCATTCCGTCTTTTGTACTCTTACTTTTTAGGTGACAATGTTTCAATTTTTATTGTAATCTTCATCCTTTGTAAAGGAGAGAGTTTAAGAGAGATATTTATCCGTCTTTAGAATTTTTCTTTTGCATATATTCACTAGATCATTGTGGTTGTAATTGAAATACTCTAAAGATAATAAATTGGGATTGTCATTCTCACATTGAGGTGACTAAAAACTTGATGTAGGATTAGTTATATCCGAACCTGAATTAGTATAAATTACTGTGTGAATTTCTTCTTTTCTTTTATTTTATGCTTCCAGTAATGTACTTAATTAATAAAACTGAAAAAAAAAAATATAGACATCAGGACAAATTTTTTTTAAGCATCAATTTAACTCCACTTTTTAATGTTATTTGTCTATCATAAAGTATATAAGAAACCATGTCAGCAAACAAAAGAGGACCCTAACCTTCTTTCCAATATTTAAACGATACTTATAGGTTGATAGTTTTGATTGAGAAGGAATATGCATGAATAATGTAAAAACAAAATCCATTTAAAAGGCAAATAAGCAGAATGAATGGTGATAAAAGCAACAAATCAAATGTATAAGAAAAAACCTAAGTGACCCTTGTAAATAAGACGTATAAGTAACATGTATGATATAAACCAAAATTTAAAATTAGTAGAAGGTATTACATAGTTAAGAAGAACAAACATAAACCAATAGACCACGCAACTCACCCTATTTCAAGTCCATAACTTGGACTGATAGTAAAAAGGACGAAATTAAAGGTCACCCTTAGACTAGTATTAATTCTCACAATCCTTGAGAACCAATAATGAACACTGTTCACCACTGTTTAAATATATAAGCAACATTAAATAGTACTCCACAACAGTGGAATGACACACAATATATAACTATTAATTGCATATATATACAATTGAATCAAGAGGAAAACTTGATAGGCGAATAACCAGTGGAAGGTGTCAAATTGAAAGATGCGAAAAGTTTGTGATAGTCGGAAACTAAAAGATTAGGGACTTAGGAGACAAGGAGACGATGGGTTGATAACAAAGAGTTGAGAAAGGTTGCGGAGAGGAAACGAAGATGATTTTTTTTTTTGGAAAATTTAATAATATAAAAATTTAACTCTAAAATATTTTTTAAAATAATTATAATACTAATACTTAATAAAAATAAATTTTATGTAATTATAGTATTGATACTTAATTTAAATTTATGTATATTTTTATTATTTTATATTTAAGTTTAGTAAAAAAAAATTAAAACTAATTATTGTTTTAAATAAAATTATTAAATATATTTTTTTATAATTAACTTAATAAAATAATATTTTATTAAATAAATTTTCTTAATATTAAAAAAAAATTAAATATTCTATTTTATTTTCCTGCAAAATAGAATTTGTAAAAAAATCCATAAAAATTTTTTTTTTACAAATTTTCCTATCACTCATTTAAATATTATTAAATATTCCTATAAATTTATATTTATCAAAAAATTTACAATCAATAAATTTAATTTTTTATTTGAAAAAAAGGTTATATATATTTATAATAAATTTATAGAAATTTCTTATAAATAGTTTTTTGTAAAAAAAATATAAACATTTTTTATAAATATTTTTTCAGAAAAATTGCAGTTATTTTTTTAATAATTTTTTGTGAAAAATTATAAATATTTTTTTGAATAATTTTGTAAATAAAAATGACAAGAAATAAATGAATTTCTATGTATATATCAAAGTTATTGAATAAAGAAGAGTAATATAATACTAATATGATAATTTTTTGTTCACATGAAATTAATATAAATCTAATATATATATATATATATATATATATATATATATATATATATATATATATATATATATATATATATATATATATATATATATATATATATATATATATAGTCTAAGATATAGTTACGTCAATATTATCTTGAATTCATTATTAAATAATTTTTCTGGATTAATAGAAGAAATAAAATTGACTTACATTTTAAAAAAAATTGAAACTTAAAATACGAATTTAAATAAAAATAAAAAGTAACGAACAAAAAATTTATTTCACTCTACGTATTTAATATAAAACCATCATGAATTATTTTGATATGAGATGTTATAACGTGAAAAAAAATTTAATTATGTTTTTAATCCTTGAAATTTAAACTCTTATTTTAATTTTTAAAATAAAAATAATAATTAATCCCTAAAAAAATAAAAATATGATTTTGTTCGTAAATAATAATTTAAAAAACTAAAAAATTTCAAATTGGAGTACTAGTAAAAACATAACTTAAAAAAATAAAAAATGATCCAAAATAGAAAAGTTAAAGGAGGTGAATGATAACTAACTAATCTAAACCGGTCTCAAATAAAAACACTACTTTTCCTTATTTAAAATATAGCGAGTAGCGGTTGCGTGACAGTGTCGGGCTACGCGGTTCAAATCGAACACAAATGCTGTGCACTATTTATATTTTATTTTTGGAAACCACTATTCACATTAGGAACGAATATTTCTTTTTATCATTTATAAGGTATTTTTTATTTTAAAATTTTTGATAATTATAATTTTATTTTTACAAATACTCTATAAGTGTAAAAGGATGAAAATATATTTAAATTATATTTAATATCGATTTTTAATATGAGATTTCATAAGAATATTAAAATAATAATAATTTAATTTTTTATTTTTATTAAACTTTTTAATAATTATTATATTACTAAAAATAAATTATTTAAGAGGTTGTTTGTTTTAAATATTAAAATATCATTCTTCTTAAGTCTTATCAGTTGTCTTCGGAAAAAAAAATACTCGAGTTCAAATAAAAAAAATTATATTATTTTTAACTCAAAATCTTAATACACTTAAAATTTTTAGATTATAGTTCTTTTTCATTATATGTTATTTAATATTTTTATTTTTCCTCAAAATGATACTTATACTCACAATTTAATTTGGTAACAACCAAAAACACCATGCATGGTCAATCCACGTTTGATGCCTTTTTAATAAACATTTTTTCAAAAATGAAAAAAAAAAGTTGTTGATAATCTAAAATGAAGTTATTATATATAGCTTGTCTTTATTTTTATTTTTTTCTAAAACCATCATAGTTTTCAGTACACAAATCAAAGTCATAAAGTCAAAATCTAGCCCATGTATTACGTTGTTCTATTCTATAGAATGGGACATACTCTAACAATCTCACCAAGTTCACATTGACATGTGAAGCAGAGAATTTATTTGGGGTGCTACAACTTCCTTTCCTAAAGTTCAAAGTCCAAAGCTAGCGTTAACACTATAAATACACGTCTCTTTGAGCTCATAATTCTCAACCTAATCTAGGATGAGGAAGGTTGCAGGGATTGTGGCAAGCTTAGTCATGCTAGTGATGATGATGGTTCCAAAAACTGTGAGTGACAAAAGCATCAACACCATCGTCACAGAACAATTCTTCGACGGCATAATCAATCAGGCTGATCCTGGTTGTGCGGGGAGGAGCTTCTACTCGCGTGATGCTTTCCTCAAAGCTCACAAGTCCTACCATCGGTTTGGTATGCTCAGTGACCAAGATGATTCCCATCGTGAAGTTGCAGCTGCTTTTGCCCATTTCACCCTTGAAACTAGACGTTAGTATATTGTGTTTAACCTTTATATCACCTTATAATTGTTACAATTCAACTCTCATTAGATAGAAATGATGAAGTTGAATTAAGTAAGAAAATCCATAAATTTATAAGATTTTCCTCCTCCTTTGTATTTATGTTAAGTGTGTAATCTTCATTTGTTAAACCCTACTACAACGTTAGCTACATCTTAAAATTCTAACAATAATATGATTGTAAAGTGTGTTATGGAATGATTAATTAAGAAGGGGTTGTGGATGCAGATTTCTGCTACATAGAAGAGATTGGAGGAACATCAAGGGACTACTGTGATGAAAGCAACACTGAGTTCCCATGTGTCCCTAACAAAGGGTACTATGGTCGGGGACCTATCCAACTATCATGGAACTTTAACTATGGACCAGCAGGGCAGAACATAGGTTTTGATGGGTTGAATGCTCCAGAGACAGTGGCCAATGACCCTGTTGTGTCCTTCAAGACAGCATTGTGGTACTGGATGGAGTTTGTTCGCCCTGTCTTGGACCAGGGCTTTGGAGCAACCATTAGAGCCATCAATGGCCGAGTTGAATGTAATGGAGGAAACCCTATCACTGTTCGTGCTCGTGTTCGTTACTACATCCAGTATTGTTCTCAACTTGGTGTTGATCCTGGTGAAAATCTTTATTGCTAAGTTATCAGTTCTATAAACGTTTATGCTACCACATATGTATAATATACAATGACACATGTCAGTAAATAAACACTTTTTCAGTTCAAGGTTATTGTAGTGATTAGTCGTGTTTGGAATGCGTGTATATGATTCCAATGAATTAATGCAACATTTTAAGATACGATAGATTTGACTTTCTGAACTTTTGCAAGTGGCAACTGGGAACTGACGTGGATAAGACAACACATGATCTAATGGAAAAGTTTCTAGCAAAGTCAATTAATTACAAAGGAGATACAAACAAAAGATAAGAAGTAAAGAGAGAAAATTAAGTATGAAATGAAAAAAGTGAAAAAATCAAAGAAAATAAAATTTTGTAATTTTTTTCTATGTTTTATTTTACAGTATTTCCCTCACTTAGCAACTAAGCAATTGGATAAAATCAAAGACAAAGAGGGATTTATAAGTTTTTTTCCTAAGGCTGAATTGTACTTATGTCTTATCTTCTAATTTTATCCTAATATTATATAAAATCATGTTCTTAATTATTGTTTACTACTACTTATTGAACTTTCATCTACATTAGTACTATAACTTTATTTTATTATTTAGTAAATATAATAGAATGAAATAAAAATAATGTCAATATAGAAATATAAAAATATATAAAATATAAGAGAATATAATTTTTTTCTCAACTAACTAATATATATGTAATTGCTTGTTGTAATATCCATAAAAAAAGCTTAGAATTATATTAATATAAATTTAATAAATTATTAAATTTAAATATGTACAAAATTTGAAGGATTAAAATTTATATAATTATTATTTTTTAAAGTATAGTTGTTAATGATAGTTTATTCCTCGTTTTATTTTACCAAGTTAACCTTAGGATTATTTTAGATTAGTTGAGAGAAGAAAAATCTATCTCAAATTTTTAGAAATTTTGTTTGAAATTCATACATAATTTTATATATATATATATATATATATATATATATATAATAATGTTTATAATATCCTTTTATTTTTTTTAAATTTTCTTAGTTTCATACACTAATATTTTTTTTATATATAGTTTTAGGAATTAAAATATCTTTTTAGACTTAAACTCACTAAGTTTTTTTCATTAGGAGAAAAATATAAGAAGCAAAAAAATAAACATTCATAATTTAAAATTAGTTTTATTCATAAATTAATTTATAAAAATCATTTCATATAACTTATTTAATATTTTTCAATTATTTATAATCTAATTTTATATCAAAAAACAATTTTTTTACCTTCTAAAAATATTTATAAACAAATTTGTTCAAAGATAGCTTAATTTGTTTCCATCCCTCCAAATGAATTTTTTGCAACAACAAAAAATTAAAATCAAAAGAAAAGTATGAATGAAAAAAAAACGGTTAAATCTAAGATCAAATTTAAAACATATTTTTTTCTCTCAAGAAAAAAAAAATGTTTCTGCATTTCAAACCACTTAGGAAAGTAGTAATTAAGAATTTTGCTAATCTATCATAGAGTAGTTGTAACTAATCAAACTTTTTGTAACTTAACATTAATGTTAAACTTTTAATAACCGAAAGTATGAACATCAACTACTACATTTTTACTTACTTTCATAGAAAATACTACCATTAATTATGCTATTTTAGATTTTTTTTCATAATTATATTAATTAATAATTTGAAAACCAAGTTAATAAAAAAAATTGCTCTATAAGTATCTCCTAATAAATTTACTTTGTATAAATTAAAATTTCTTAATTTAATTGTTTAACAGTTCATATCAATTAAACTATTATGCATGTCAAAATTCAAATGTGTTTTTTCAACCACACACATTGATTGTACTTACTGCCTTTCTTCTTTCATGTTATATTAATTTTAATTCTATTCGTCTTAAAATACTTATCAATTTAAGAAATTAAATAACAGTAATTATTTTTAATAATATTTATATTAACTTATATGTCACTTAATTAATATTTCACTTAAGTTAACACACTTGTTAGCATCCGATCATTTTTTTCTTTTTTCATTTTTATTATTTTTAAAGTTATTTGATGCAACACTTGAGAACATCTTCAATAAAAATTATTTAATAAAATATTTAAGTAAAATATTAACTTTTTATTAAAAAAATTATATAACATGATATGCTATTTAATTTTTTATATAATTATTTTAGTAAAATATATTTTAGTTTTTCTCTGTCATTTATATAATTAATTTTTTTTCTGCAACACATTTACGTTATCTTAAAAACAAAAATTTACATGGTTGAAAAGTTTATCAGCTGAAGATGATACAGGTTTTGTCCTTCCTCTGTCATATATCATATTCATTGTGAAGTAAAGAGTTATACGTTCAAAGAATTCAGCATGATAAAATATGTAAATTTTTTTATATAATCTAATTTCTCATAAAAAATAGAAATCACCCTTAAAAGAACGAAAAAAAAAAATTAAAAGAACGGACAAAAAAAAATATAAGACCTCATGAAGAAGCAGAATTGGAAGAAACGAGGTGTTATAAGAAAGAAGATAAACCATAAAAAAAAAAATCGTGATAAAGAAAAAAGAACAAAATGAAAATAAAAAACTATTTAAAAAGAAAAATAGTCGAAACGAGTTATAAAAAAAATTAACAAATGACTTTAACAACCTCAAAATATTACAACAATGAAATAATATATAACATTGATAAAAATATAAATATTATTGATAAAAAAATAAAATTGAAAATATTATCTGATTTTTTTATTCATAAAAACTAGAAAAATAATTTTTAATAATTATATTAATAAAACAATTATTAAATATATTTTTTAGTTTTAAAAAATGTGTGCATGTGAGATATAATATAATCCATCACCAATTTGTGTTAGAATTATAAAATTATTAAAACTTAAATATCTTAAAACCCTAAATTCTTAGGATTTTCAACCAAATCTATTGAAGTAAAACCACATTGAAATGTAATGAAATCGTATATGTAATGAGAATAACAAATTATGATTATTATGATCTTATACTTGACTTTACACGTTTTCTTTCTTTCTTTTTTCTATTTTTTTTTAAGTTCTCGCTTTTCTTATTCGTAATATGACATGTTCTCTTTCCATTTCTTACACGTATCACATGTTTTTTCTTTATTTTTTTAATATATATTTTCTTTTAAATATGTTTTTCTTATATATTTTTCTATGTCTTATCATCATAATAAAATATTATTTTTATTTGACAAAAAATAATATAATTTTATAAATAATACAAAAAAGGGAATATTGTTTGGTTTCTGATAACAATATTTCTAATAATAACAGCAACAATGCGAGCTTATAGTTACTTTTATAACCTTAAAAATGTTTAAATTGCAATCTGTGATGTTATATTTGGTTGAAAAAAATATAGTTATTATTGTAACTTGATTTATAGTTAATGTTAATCTTGATAATAGAATATAATACAGTGACTATATATGATTATATGTAAAGTTAAATTTGGTTAATAAATATATTTAACAATATCAATTTGATAAGTTCTCAATTCGACATAAGTATTATTATTTTTTTATATATCTAATTATCGAGTGACAAATTATCAAATGAAATTTGTTAAGAAATTTATACGGATAATAAATCAAAGTTAATTAAATTTTGGAATATATAAATTAATAAAAAATATAACATAATAAAATTTTATATTATTAAAAGGTGAATATGAGCTTAACTAAAAGATCATGAATTAATAACAGTTTTGTACTCACGGGTCTTAATAAGTAGGTCAAATAAAGTAACTATTTGACACTATGTAAGATAGTAAACACATAATTGATAAAATAAGAATAAATATTTCATAATTTTGTTATAAAACTGACAAAAACACACACAAAAATTGATTCATGAAACGTATATAATCATTGTCTTTAATACCTTATTCATGATATATTGCGCAAGTCTCCTAAGATACAACAAGAACTTCTTGATATTTCTAAGGAACTTAGAAACTATTAAATAACTCTTACAAGTTTATTTATAGGTGTGGTATGAGCAACAAACTCATCTTCACATTCAACATCATGGGTGGTTGTAGCATGGAAACATGAGAGAGTGAAACACTTTTAGGTTAGTGGAATACGTTCTAGGTTAGTGAAACACATTTTAGGTTAGTAGAGTACGTTCTAGGTTTTGCAATACATTTATTTTACAACAATCCCCCCATATTGCAAAATAAAAAGGAGATAAAAGAACAAAAGAAGAAAATATTGCGTCTCATATAAGATGTAGTGCATCAGAGCTGGTATAACAAGTTATATGAATCAGTCATAGATTAGATTACCATCACTTATTTGTTTGCAAGTGACTTGATTTCATTCCCCTCAATGTTTCTAAAATCATGTTTCCCCTCAGGATTTTGTCAAAAGATCTGCTAGATTCCGTTCTGACTTCACATAATAATGGAAATCGTTTTATTCTTTAGCAGTTGTTTGATCAAATTATGTCTCAATTATATAAGATTGTTCTTTCCATTGTAGTTTTTTTTTTAGCTATAGCTATTGTCGATTGGCAAATATAATGTATTGACATAGATGGGTTGGTTTCATTCCTAATTGAATGTTTGCTAAAAAAAATTCTATCACTCAGTTTTACTACCAATCATTTCGAGAGCAACAGATTCAGATTCTACTGTTGATCTTACAATAATTGTTTATTTGACTGATCTTTCATGTAATCGCATTACCCCGAGTGTGAATACATAACCACTAGTGGATTTTGTCTCATTTGAATAAGAGATCCAATTAACATCAATGTACCCTTTTACTACAGCGGGAAATCTATTATATTCAATAACATAATCCATTGAACCTCTCAAGTATCTTATAAACAATATTTCTAATTAGGACATTGAGTGTACCTACTTAGTCTAACTACTGCATAAGCAATGTCAGGTCTATAAAAGTTCATTAAATACAGTAAGCTTCCAATTATCTGGGCATACTGATGTTGAGAAA